CCCCCCCCCCCTCCCCCCCAGCCGGGGTCACTGGCGGAACCGGGAAAACGGCGGTGGCGCCCGCCCTTGACCGGGGAAGCGCCCCGGCCGAAGGGACACCAGACCACCCGCACCGGCCGAGGCGGGGGGGGGGGGGGGGGGCAGGGAGCCGCTGGCCGGAGCCGAGGCAGGTTGTCTTATCTCCCCCAGTCCACCACAAGGCGGGGGCGGCACGGGAAGGGCATTCGCCCGTGCCCGGAGGCAGGACTGGACCGACAGCCAGGCACGCTGGAGGGCCGGAAAAGGGGCCTGGCGCGGAGCCGCCCAAAGTCCACCCATTTCCCCAACCACCGCGCAGGGCGGGGGGTGGGGAGGGGCCGGGCGGGCGGGCGGGCGGGCGCGGCCGGCGCCTCGGGCTCCCTCCCCGGGGCTGGGAAAATATGAAAACGGTCACCTAACCGGCATGGGGGCTTGTGCCTGCACAGGCGCATGGACCTGACTCGGTCGAATCCTGCGCGTGGCATTCAAGATCGACCCGGCCGGCGTCCTCTCCGGCGGTTTCCTCCGCAAAGGCCCGGTCGTTCGAAGGTGCCCAGCAAGAGTCTTCCTTCCTCTCCCCCCCCCCACCCGCCCCCGCCCCAGCCCGCCGGCTGGCCGGAGGCATGGGCTAGAGACTTGCACCTGCGTGGCTGCGCTCGCGCGTCGCCGGGCCGATCGCTTGCGCGGCAGGGTCGCACGCCCATGGGCGCGGGGTGGGCCGCCCGCGGCCCGGACAAAACGGCCGAGCTCCCCGGCCCCCGCTATCTTCCCACCCGGGCTGCCTCGCCGACGGTCCCTCTCTCGCTCTCCCTCGCTCGCGCCCTCCTGCCCGGCCCGGGGGAGCGGGCGCGCACAGCCTCCCGGGGGGGGACAACGGGGGCGTGCGGAAACCCGGCCCGCCCCCTGCCCGAGGACCGGCGGGCTGTGTGCTCTCCGCACCAGCGCCCATCCCCCTCCCCCCCCCCCTCCAGCCAGGGGGCCGGTGACGCCACTTGAGGAGGGGCGGAGGGGATGGGGGGAGGGGGGGGGGGGACGCGCAAGCAAGCCTTCCGCTCGGGCGGGGGAGCATTTTCCGCTCCGGCAGATCGGGCCCCGGGCTCCGCACGGCGGGGGAGGGGGGGCGCGCGGGAAAGCCCCACACGCCGCGGCGGCGCGCCCGCCACCAGCGCCAGCAGGCGGCATCCAAGGCGACACTCGGCACACACCCGAGGGCCGGGAGCACGGGGGGAATGATGCCGGGAAACCAGTCAACCCGGCCCCGCTTGAAGCCAGGGCTCCCCGTCCCACGGCGACCTGCCGCACCAACAGGCACACACCCCGCCGGCGCCCCCGAAGCAGCCTGCGGCCGGGCGTTTTGGGCGGGGGCGGGGGGGGGGGGGGGGGACAAGCCCACGCCCGCCGCGCCTCGGGGCCGCCGGCTTCTCTGGCCCCCCGGCCCCGGTTCTTCGGAACTTCCGCTGCTTCCTCCCCCCTCCCTCCCCGTGGTGCGCCTGGTTGGGGCATGCACCGGCCGGGGCGGAATAACAGCAGCTATATTTTTATTTGCCCTTTTCCAAACCCGCCCCAGCTCCCCACAGAGCGCACGTCCGTACACGGGCCCCGCCCTCGCCGGCAT